CGGCCAACAATTTTCAAAGTTATGGCTTCAAGGAAAATTCTAAGGAAAGGATGCGATGAGCCAATGGAACGGCTTGCCTGACCGCGGTCTTAGCCGTTGCAGCAAGGACCGTCGACTCTAAGGCAGTTGGAAAACTTCCCTAGGCAGATTAAGGGAGTAATCTAGGTCGAAGGACCCAAGCCTAAGTCAATGGGACTGCGAGGAAAAGAAGCTAGTCAAGGCCCTAGACACAACGACCGGGTTGAGCCAACGCTTGGGAGGAACCAAGTGTTGGGGCTGAAACCATCGCATTCGGGAAAACTACCACGAGGTCAAGAAACGAGACTCGATCGAAGAAGGCTTTTTTTAGGATGGGAAAACTGGAGTTGGGATCGAAGAAATTGACTAAGGATTGAGACGGTCATGTCGCGGTAGGGAATGCCGTGTCATGGACTGAAGCACTTGTGTCACGGATCGAGACAGTCGTGTCACGGTAAAGAATGTCATATCGCAGATCGAAGCACTCGTGTCGCGGATCGAGACAGTCATGTCACGGTAAGGAATACCGTGTCACGGACCAAAGCACTCGTGTCACGGATCGAGACGGTCGTGTCAAAGTAAGGAATGTTGTGTTGCAAACCGAAGCACATATATCATGGATCGAGACGGTTATGTCATGGTAAAGATTACCGTGTCGCGGACCGAAGCACTCGTGTCGTAGGTCGATCCGTTCGTGTTGCAGGTCAAGACAGTCGTGTCGCGGGTTAGATCGTCGTATCGCAGTAGGTTTTGATAGACGCGGGTAGGTACGTGGACTGGACGTCGGGCCGTGGCTTTGTCGTTTGGATGGTGCTGCCATGTGTCCATCAAGCGTTGGGGAAACGTTTGAACCAAGGCCGACTCGCTTGCGGTTGGGTGGAGTGAAGAACAAGTTTTGCCATATGTCCGTCATACTGTAGGCAGTGTTCAATTTGATTTGGGCGGCAGGACATGATTGCCACGTGTCGTTCATGTTCTGGTCAGCATGTGGATCGAACTGGGTAGTGCATGGATTAAGATGGGCAGCCGGGTAGATTTGCCACTTGGCGATCATATGTCTGGTGGGCTTTGGCAGAGAGAAACCAGATTTTTTCTCTATAAATAGAGTCTTCCACTCTCATTTCTCCCCTTTTCTGATTTCTCTCCCTAAACTCTGTCCAAATTTCTTTAGAGCAAAGGTTAGACATTTTTCCTACTGTAGATATGTTTTGGGCTAGCGTTTTCGGTAAGATCTCTTAATTCCGTTTGTTCTTCACCCTTGTTCGTCTTTCCTTCGTTGATCTAAATAGGACCTCTTCGTAGATTCAAAACCGTTTGAAGGCTAGGCTGTTTGTGGCTCCGAAAAGCTCAATCATCTGCATCGAATCATGGTGAGGATGGATTCGAGTGTTGATGAGTCGAACACTCGTAGATTCTCTATTTTGTTTCATTAGATCTTTCGTATAAACGCATTGGGTTGCATGCATTCACTCCGTTGTGTTGAGATCATGTTAGGGAGTGTGGATCCGAGTGTTGATGAGTCGAACACTCGTAGATTGTGTGTTGTCGCTTTATTGGATCCATCATATATTCGCCTTGTATTGCATGCAATCATTCCATTGTGTTGAGATAATGTTAGTAAGGCATGAATCCGAGTATGATGAGACGAACACTCGTAGCCTTCACGTTTATCCATGAGATAGCATTCAAATAACCGACATATGTTGCATGCATTCAATTCGTTAAGTTGTGATGTTTCGATTGGATGGCATGCTAGATTCTTGCTAGGTTGTACGGATGCTTGCATCCATTCGGTCGAGTTAAGTTAATGTCGCATTATCATTTCGTTTTGCATGCTAGATCCGTTTGGTCATTCGCATTTGATGCATGCATTAAACAGTTAGAACTGATGCTTAGGTTGCTCACCGATTGATTTCACGTGCTAAGCCTATTGCCTAGTTGCGTGTTGTTGTATGTTTGAATCTGGTTGTTGTTGTGTATTTGATTGCCGTTGCATGCTTGATAAGAATCATTCTGCTTGATGTGATGATAATAATTCTACCTAGGCTGTGTTAATCTAGACTGTTGTGATTGTTTGATCGTGTGTTATCTATACTACTTGTATTGATAAGTAAATCGTCGTTGCTGGTTGGCATCAAGCATTTGCCTTGCTTGTTAATTGATGAACGGTTAACATCGTGTGATCACATGTATGTCTACGCATTCTTTAGTCATGTATAGGACACACTGTGAGAGTGCACAAGTAATGCTGTGAGAGTGCACAAGTAGTGCATTACATGATGATTGATAGCATGTAGTCGTAGAGCATATTGACAAGACTAGGCGCTTTGAAGGTACCTAGTCTTTCTTGCCAAAGTTAAGGTAGGAACAATCGGTAGGAACAAACAAAAAGGACTGTGCATCACGAGGACTTCCAAGGATGAGCAGACAATACGAACATAAGGAGACATGATGAAAGGTCATTGGGAGTGTAAAAATTATGGCGCTATGGAGCTACCAAGTCCTGCCTGACAAGAATATGGTAGGAATAATCGGCAGAAACAAACCAAAAAGGGAGGGTTGCAACACTCACAAGGAGATATGATGAAAACTTATTGGGTGTGTAAAATTCATGGCACTTTGTAGCTACCTAGTCCTGCCTGCCAAAGATAAGGTAGGAAAAATCGGTAGAAACAAACAAAAGGGACGGTGCAACACGAGAACTTCCAAGGATGAGCTGCCAATACGAACACAAAGAGACATGATGAAAGGTTATTGGGAGGGTAAACCCTATTGGCTATGGAGCTACCAAATCCTACCTGCCAATAAGATGGTAGGAAAAATCCGCATAAACAAACCAAAAAGGCATTGGTGCAACACGAGGTCTTCCCAGGATGGGCGGGTAATACGAACACAAGGAGACATGCTGAAAGGTCAATGGGAGTGTAAAAACTATGGGCTATGGAGCTGCCAACTGCTGCCTGTCAAGAATATAGTAGGAAAAATCGGTAGAAACAAACCAAAAAGGAAATGGTGCAATACGAGGACTTTTCTGAATAGACGGGCAATACGAACACAAAGAGACATGATGAAAGCATATTGGGCGTGTAAACTTCATGGCGCTTTGAACCTACCTAGTCCTGCCTGCCAAAGATAAGGTAGGAAAAATCGGTAGAAACAAACAAAAGGGTTGGTGCATCACGAGAACTTCCAAAGAAGAGCGGATAATACGAACTCAATGAGACATGATGAAAGGTCATTGGGAGGTTAAAAATCATGGCGCTTTCATCCTTGGAAATTCTCGTGTTGCACCGTGCCTTTTGTTTGTTTCTACCAATTTTTCCTACCTTATCTTTGGCAAGCAGGCCTAGGTAGCTATAAAGCGCCATGAATTTTATACGCCCAATAAGCTTCGTAATGTCTCTTTGTGTTTGTATTGCTCGCTCATCCTGGAAAGACCTCGTGTCGCACCTCTCCCTTTTTGGTTTGTTTCTACCAATTTTTCTTACCATATTCTTGGGAGGCAAGAGTTGGTAGCTCTATAGCACCATGATGTTTACACTCCCAATGAACTTTCATCATGTCTCCTTGTGTTCGTATTATCTGCTCATCCTTGGAAGTCCTCGTGATGCACCGTTCCTTTTGTTTATTTCTAACGATTTTCCTACCTTATCTTTGGCAGGCAAGGCTAGGTAGCTTCAGTGCGCCATGAATTTTAAATGTCCAATAAGCTTTCATCATGTCTCCTTATGTTCGTATTGACCATCCATCCAGGGCAGACCTCATGTTGCACCCTTGCCTTTTTGGTTTGTTTATGCCGATTTTTCCTACAATGTTATAGGCAGGGAGGACTTGGTAGATCCATAGCCCATAATTTTTACACTCCCAATGACCTTTCATCATGTCTCCTTGTGTTCGTATTGCCCGTTCATCCTTGAAAATTCTCGTGTTGCACCATGTATTTTGTTTGTTTCTACCAATTTTTCCTACCTTATCTTTGGCAAGCAGGCCTAGAGAGCTTAAAGCGCCATGAATTTTACACGCCTAATAAGATTTCATAATGTGTCTTTGTGTTCGTATTGCTCGTCCATCCTGGGAAGACCTCGTGTTGCACCCCTTCCTTTTTGGTTTGTTTCTACCGATTTTTCTTACCATATTCTTGGGAGGCAAGAGTTGGTAGCTCTATAGCGCCATGA